CAGTGGACAGAGAAAAGCTTCATAGAAGAAATAGGATGAATGCATTGAAAAAAATGTAGGAAACTCTAAACAAAACAGACTGTTGGGACTAGAACATCCTTACAGGCATCTTCAAGCTGAAACAGTGCATAGCCTGACCTTTAAAGCTCATTAAAGATCTTTTCCTCATCATTTATACACCATGGAGTATTACGCAGCACTAAAAAATGACAAAATCATGGAATTTGCAGGGAAATGGATGGCACTAGAGCAGATTATGCTTAGTGAAGCTAGCCAATCCCTAAAAAACAAATACCAAATGTCTTCTTTGATATAATGAGAGCAACTAAGAACAGAGCAGGGAGGAAGAGCAGGAAGAAAAGATTAACATTAAACAGAGACATGAGGTGAGAGGGAAAGGGAGAGAAAAGGGAAATTGCATGGAAATGGAGGGAGACCCTCATTGTTATACAAAATTACATATAAGAGGTTGTGAGGGGAATGGGAAAAAAGGAGAGAAATGAATTACAGTAGATGGGGTAGAGAGAGAAGATGGGAGGGGAGGGGAGGGGGATAGTAGAGGATAGGAAAGGTAGCAGAATACAACAGTTACTAATATGGCATTATGTAAAAATGTGGATATGTAACCAATGTGATTCTGCAATCTGTATTTGGGGTAAAAATGGGAGTTCATAACCCACTTGAATGTAATGTATGAAATATATGTCAAGAGCTTTGTAATGTTTTGAACAACCAGTAAAAAAAAATATTTATTTTTTAGGTGGACACAATATCTTTATTTTTTTATTATTTTTTATGTGATGGCTGAGAATCGAACCCATGACTCACAAATGCTAGGTGAGCGTGCTACTACTTGAACCGCATCCCCAGCCCCAGGTCAAGTGTTTTGATATCACAGGATTTCAGTTTTTTGGTGGGTTTTGTTATTGTTTCTTTTATTTTGAGTACTGGGGATTAAATCCAGGGATGCTTTTCCACTGAGCTATAGCCCCAGTTTTTTTGTTGTTGTTATTGTTGTTTTGTTTTGTTTTTTTAAAGACAGGGTCTCACTGAGTTGCTGAGGCTGGGCTCAAGCTTACAATCCTCTTACCTCCCAAGTCATTGGGATTACAGGCATGTGCCATTGTGTCCAGCTCAGTATTGTTATTACAAATTAAAAGGTTTGAGTCAGGCCTTTTTTTCATGGTTTTGACTATATATTTTTCCAATTATAAAAGCCCCATTTCTACTTTTAAAAGTAGAATATCAGGGCTGTGGTTGTAGCTTAGTGGCAGAGTGCTTGCCTTGGACGTGTGAGGCACTGGGTTCAAGCCTCAGCACCACATAAAAATAAATAAAATAAAGGTATTGTGTCCAACTACAAACGAAAAAATAAATACTAAATAAGTAAAGAAAGAAAATAAAGATGTTGTGTTCATCTACAACTAAAAAATATATTTTTAAAAAAGATGGAAGATCATTAAGTAGGAAGGGAAAAGTTCCAAACCTACACCCAGAAGACACACTTAATGTATTTTGATGGATATATAGTTTTGTAATTTAACATTATGAAAAGATATATTCACTTAGGGACTTTAAGGTACTTTCCAACTTTTACCACTGAAGAAATCAATATTGTATTTTTAAAAAATCACCAAGATGGGGCTGGGTTTGTGGCTCAGTGGTAAAGCACTCACCAAGCACATGTGAGGCACTAGGTTCTGTCCTCAGCACCACATAAAAATAAATAAATAAAATAAAGGTATTATGTCCAACTACAACTAAAAAATAAATATTGAAAAGAAAAGTCACCAAGAGGGGCTGGGGTTAAAAGTCCCCAGTGGTAGAGCATTTGTCTACCTTGCGTGATGCCCTGGGTTCAGTCTCCAGTATGTATTTTAAAAAGGATAAATGATGGTACTACCTTTTGGCTTACAAATCAAATTAATATAAATATATGGTCAAAGACTTTGCACCTCTGATATTCAAGCAGTTATATTTAGAAAGGTAAACATATTAGTTCTTTAGGCCATAGAAAGCCTCAGGTGATTGCAAATTATCCCAAAGCAAAAGCTTCATTGTAGTTTATATACTATAGAATAAGTATACAGTTAAACATAGTAAAAACTCATTTATTTGTAGAAAATCATCTTAATACCAGCAACTCGAGAATCTGAGGCAGGAGGACTACAAGTTCAAAACTAGCCTCAGCAACTTCACAAGACCCTATCTTTAAAAATAAGAAGTGCTGGAAATATAGCTCAGTGGTAAAGTACCCCTGGGTTCCATTCCTAGTACAAAAGAAAAGAAAGGAAAGTCCCCTTTCTACAGTTTTTATTTATTTATTTATTTTTAAATTAGGAACAGTGGTCTTGAGCCCAGAAGTCTTTTCTGAAGGCAGAACAGAGTCCATGCAATGAAAAGGGTCAGAACTCCTAAAACTATTGCTGGAGCTCCATATGGAACTTGTAGACTTTAAACAATATTTGTTGAATTGATATCAAAAATTATTTGCCAGAAGTAGAACTAATTTATCACGTAACTAAGAAATAGAAAAGTAAGCATGGTAACTAAGTTTTAGGTTTCTACACATTATACCAATGGATATTGTGGGGTTTTATTACTTCCTTAGGGAGTTTCCAAAAAGAAAATTATATGCAGTTTCCATAGGAAGATTTAACTGACTTGAAACAGTCTTAAAAGTATTAGTCAGGGCTCTATCAAGCAAAACTTTAAAGCCTGATACTTATAGAGTGGATGTATATCTCATGGTTCTTTAAGTGTGTTTTGAATTCTTTGTTCCCTTTTAGAAAAGGCACTTCACTTGGCATCAGCTTTTGCATTGCTTGGCCCAGAGAATCTCTTAGTGGTAGCTATAAAAATCTATTAAAAGTCCCAGTTTCCAGCTGATTGGCCTAAACTATTCACATATAGAAGCTATTTCTATTATCTGAATAGAATACAGAATTTATGAATTGTTAACTACTTAGTCATTTTGGTCCATAGATCATGATTATCCATAGGATTGAGCCCGGGTCCTGGGGCATGCTAGGCTCTACCACTGAGCCACATCCCCAGCCCACAATTTTCGGTGGGGGCAGAGGTATTGGGATTGAATTTTACCACTGAGTAACATCCCCAGCCTTTTTTATTTTGAGACAGGGCCCTGCCGAATTGCTGAGGCAGGTGTGGAACTTGGAATCCTCCTTTCTTACCCTTCTGAGTTGTTGAAGTTACAGCTTGGATGTCACCACACCCAGCCTTAGATCACAAAATAAAGTTCATTCATGAATGTGTTTAATTGAAGAGGATTTTATTGATATGGGACGAGTTGGGGTCATTCTAGGCACAGTTGCACACAACACCTGTAATCCCAGTGTCTCAGAAGGCTGAGGCAGCAGGATCACAATTCTGAAGTCAGGAATTTAGCATGACCTTAAGCAACTTAACTAGACCTTGTCTCAAAAAAATTTAAAACAAAGAACTAGGGATGTTGCCCATTGGTAAAGTGCTCCTGAGTTCAGTGCTCATTGCCAAAAAATAAAGATTGAGATCATGTAGTTTTTCATCTTCTTCCTAGAATACACTAAATCATGGTTTTTTTTTTTTGTATTCTGAATTTTTATTTGTATTTTTAAGAAATTTTTTGGCACTGATCTTTGAATCCAGAGGCATTTTACCACTGAGCTATATATCCCCACCCCTTTACTTTGAGATAGGGTCTCACTAAGTTGCCAAGGCTGACCTCGAACTTGTGATCCTCCTGCCTCAACTTCCCAAGTCATTACTATTACAGGCACCATGCCCACTGCTCATTTTTAATTATTTCAAGCCCTTTCATCTCTTCTAAATAATTCCTTTAAGGGGATGAGGTTCAGTGGTAGAACATTTGCCTAGTATTTGCAAGATCCTAGGTTCTCTCTCTAGAACTGCAAAAAAAAAAAAAAAGAAAAAAATTTTTTTTTCTGATGTTATAATGTATCAGAATCTGTCATTGTGATTCCTTTTATTGATTTTAGTGGTGAAATTTTTCCTTCTGAATAATTAAAAATAGAACTTGATACTCTTGTTGTTCTCAGCTATTTTTCTAGTCTTGTCTCGTTCTCTCTTCCCCAGTCATTTCTCCCCCCACACTGCATTACTGTTAAATACCTCTTGCCAAAACTTAGCTTTTGTCACATTCAAGACTTATTTTAAATTTACTTGTTCATTTATTCATTCTGCAGGTATTTAGTGCCTACTATGATTTAAAATTTCAACCAGCTAGGACTGCTGTCTGTAACCTATCTGACCTTAGTTGTCTTTTGTTCTTTATACCTATGTTTTGATAAGCTCTTAGAAAAAGGTTTGACAGTAGTCATTTATAATGTGGTTGCATTTAAGTCATTGTTGCCTCTCAGGCATTTACATTTTGACTTTTCTTATAAATGTTAATGAAAAGCTATCAAAGAATTCAGTGCTTCTGTGTGCAGATGTTGGAGGTATTCAGAGGTGGAGTACTGGCTGTTGTTTCTTCCTACCTTCATGGTGTCCCTGGTCCCTCCCTTCTACCTAAATTGCTTGTATTTCCTGTTAAACTCAGCTAATATCCTACATGTTCTCTAAAGATTTTTTTGTGTCTGCTGTCAGTTCATTTTCCTTCTATGAGTTCCTCAGTGGCCATCACTGAGATTAGCATTTAATCATTCTTTATTTCAATTGGTTCATTTTCTTTTCCCCAACTCTAGTATAATCTTTGAGAACACTGACCGTATTTTCTTAGTTTCTGCTTAAATAATGCCTAGCAGAAACAGTTGGTATTCAGTAGTTATCTACCAAAAATGAGAATATAACTAGATCCATTTACGTTTATTTATACTGTATCTAGCATCATTTTGCAAAGTAAATTCATTCTTCAGTAAAAGAAACATGTTACACTTAAAAGATTTTTATTGAAATTCCTTCAAAGTAGAGAAAAGGCCAGAAACCATTTTTTCCTATAAATGCTAATATCTAAAGAAATTTTTGTGTATTTTTAACAGGTGGTTTGTTCTGGATGCAGAAACCAGAGATCTAGTTTCTATCCACACTGATGGAAATGAACAGCTCTCTGTGATGCGCTACTCAGTTGGTAGGTAAATGTATTCCATCCCCATCCTGGCATTCATAGAATTTCACTATAGTTGCATAATTTTACTTCTGATAAAGCTGACTCCTTTTTTTCTACTTTCTAGAGTTTTTAAGTATTGAATATGTTTCCCCCAACATCAGATTAAATTCCACTTCTGGAAACTGCAAAAGATCTGCTGAAGTTACACAGCATTCTAAATCAGCAAGCAAACACAAATTAGAATGAACTCTTACAACTGCATTTGCAATTGAAAACAGAATGAAGTGCAGTCAAGTTCCTTGTGTTTTTTTTTTTTCTTTCTTTTTTTGTTTTTGTTTTTGTTTTTGGTCCTTTTTTGTAACTACTCAGAATTTGAAGCAATATTAGGCTAAATTATTATTTCAAATCAGCATAAAAGAAATTATAGTAATATTCAAAATACACAGCATAAAAGTTCTTTAGAACCTAGTTATATTATTATTGGCTGCATGGACATGATAGGTTTAAGTAAAATACTTAGCAATTCATTATAATTGTTTGGTAACTTTATTTAGCTTTGAGTATTTTTTTATACTTTATTCAAATGTTAAATAAGTTTCCACAATAAAATTCCAGTTACCTTTTCCCATTATTGATGTGGTTTTGATTCACATCATTCTTTCCTAGTGTTAGTCTCACATGTTCTTATACTTGAAAATATATTCTATTAGTTGTTGGATCAAGATTTTTTTAATATATATTTTTTAGTTGTCAGTGGATCTTTATTTTTTTATTTATTATCTGCTGTGCTGAGAATCAAACCCAGTGCCTCACACATGCTAGGCAAGCGCTCTACCACTGAGCCCTCAAGATATTTTTATTTGGTTCTCAGTTATTTGTAAAAAAGCACAGAATACTGTTCTCTCAATTACACAAAGAGAAGTATGTGTTCCAAGCTATAAACCTGGAGTCCTCTTGAAGCAGCAAAGCTTTTCTTGTTTTTATTAGTTTGTTTTTAATGCTGTAGTAACAAATAACCACAGATCCAAAGATCAGTGGATTTTATTGACCATTTGTTGTTCTGTGACTAGCACCATGGTAGTTACAGTAGGGGAGACCATTAAAGAAAAGAACATGGTCCCTTCCCAAGAGATCCTACCCTATAATTAGATCATTTGTGCTTGCCAAACTAAGAATATACACCCAGCTTGCCATATGATCACTGTGTACTTCTACCGGTAAAGGCAGAGTAACCTCTCTGAGGCCAGTTTTTAACTAAGTGAAAGGAGATGGGAAGAGTCCATGGCCTGTGAGCATCTCTAAGGAGGGATTCTGTGTTGAACTAGGTTACCATTTGTTTTTCAAGTACGCTGAGTGATAAGATTGGCCCATCAAATGCCAGATAACAGTTAAATTAATGAAATTTAATAACATTTTTAAAGCATCAATTAGTATAGTCCAATAAAGTAAAAATCAATTTATCACCTTATTTCTCTAGTCAACACTTTTTCTATTTCATTCTAGATGGTACCTTCCTGGCTGTAGGATCTCACGACAACTTTATTTACCTCTATGTAGTCTCAGAAAATGGGAGAAAATATAGCAGATATGGAAAGTGCACTGTAAGTAGTAAAGTAAAATAAGTTGTAAAATTATTAGGAAATTTTTAATTCTGTTAAGAGAATGGAATATTTTCATTGATGTACCTTTTTCTGTTGTTAGCTGCTTTAAAACTTTAATCTCTGTTTTTGAAAACTTGATATTATCTGACAAAACATTATAGTTCCCCTATGTACTCTAGAAAGATGACTTCTTTTGGTGACTTCTCTCCAACTAGTTTTAAGGCAGTTTCTTAAAGCTGTTTCTAAGAGAAGCTCTTAGAGTAAAACTTTTAAAAATAGAGTTAGTGAGAAATAACAGGCCATCTCAGTGTCCTAAGTCCCTGTCTACCTGACACTCTGCAATGACCTGCATTACATTTCTGCCACTGAAAATAAAATAATTTACATGGGAATGTATGCATTTAAGAGTTAACATAAGCCAGGTGCAATGGCACATGCCTGTAATCCCAGTGATTTGGGAGATTGGAGCAAGAGGATTGAAAGTTTGAGGCCAGTCTTAGCAAGACCCTGTCTCAAAAAAAAAAAAAACTTTAAAAAACTAGGATGTTGCTTGGTGAATTCAACCCCTAGTGCAAAAAAAAAAAAAAAAAAAAAAAGTTAGCAAAAGCAGGTTTCCTGTGATTTGTTGCCCATTTCTAATTTGATTAGGTTATTATTACAGGAGAAAAAATTTAGAGCAAATTCTGTAGACCAGGTTGAGTACTTACTATGTGGCTGGAGTTCTGCTAGAGAAATTCTCTAGATGCTAGGAATATGTGCAAGATTTTTGTCATCAAGAAGTATGGCTGAGGGCTGGGGTTGTGGCTCAGTGGTAGAGCACTTGCCTAGCATGTGTGAAGTACTGGGTTTGATTCTCAGCACCACAAATAAATAAAGTCGATTGACAACTAAAAAAAATATAAGGAAAAAAAAGAAGTATGGCTGAGACTAGGGGTGGAGCAGTAGAGCACTTGTCTACCTTGTGCAAGACCCTGGTTCAGTCCCTAGTTGAGAAAGGAAGGCAGGATAGTGGAGTAGTTAGGAACACAGACTGGATCAGATTACCTGGATTTGAATTCTTGCTTTATCACAAGCTATTATGACCTTGGGCAGGCTACTTAAACCTTCTACTTTAGTTTTCTCATCCATGAAATGAGGATAAGACTAGTTAATACATATGAAGTACATAGGACAATGTTTGGCATAAAAGTGCCCAGTAAATATTAACCATATTTTTGTAGAAAAAAGTAGTTTGGTATGTATGTTAATATTAGGATTAGCAAACCACTGTGTGGATTACTGACACAGATCCTTTAAACAGTCTTGATCACAAACAGTTGCTCTTGGGGGAATAAATAAAAATTATGGCCCTCAGAAAGAAGAGACTTTATAGTAAGCAAAATAAACTTTATTATGGGTCTGAAATTTAGTTTATCATGTATAGATTGAGTATTCCTTATCTAAAATACTTGGGATCAGAGTGTTTCAGATTTCATAGATTTCTAGATTTTGGAATATTTGCATATTTGTAGGAAGATTATCTTGGAAATGGGACTAACGTCAAAACACTAAATTCATTTCTGTTTTATATATAACATATACACACAGCCTAATCATAATTGTCTACAGTGTTTTTAGTGTGCTTAAATTTTGAACCACTTGTCACTTGGGTCAGATGTGGAATTTTACACTTTTGGTATCCTCTGGAACTTAAGTTTTAGATTTTGTAGAGTTTCATATTCAGGGTACTCAACCTGTATAAGCAAAAAAACAGGCCATTTACTTTACTCCCCCCACCCCACTTTCTGGTGCTACTGTGGATTGAACCCAGTGTTGCTGTACTGAGCTACATCTTCCCCCTGCCCCTTTTTAAAATTTATATATATTTAGGTGTAGATGGACACAACAAAATGCCTTTATTTTTATGTGGTACTGAGGGTCGAACCCGGGTCCCACCCATGCAAGACGAGCGCTCTACTGCTGAGCCATAGTCCCAGCCCCTCTTCACCCCCTGTTTATTGATTGATTGATTTTTGAGATAGTCTCTCTAATTTGCCCAGGTTGACCTTGAACTTGGAATTCACCTACCTCAGCCTCCGGAGTAGCTGTCATTACAGGCTGTGTCATCCCACCTGGCTTTACTATTTGAGGAAGACTTGTTTGTTTTGCATATGTTGTATTATGTGCTAAAACCAGCCAATTTATAAACCATTTATATTTCCAGTATATGATAGTCCTCAGGTTCACACACACACACACACATACACTCGAACATGCAGTTAAAGTACAACTGATCGAGAAAAGAAATGGAGCATTGTGTGACATGGGATAATCAGAATGACCTTGGAAATGTTAAAAAATGGCAAGTTGATCAATTGCATGCAATTTTTCCTACTCTAATTAGGCAGCTTTTATCTTTAATGAGTAATTGAAAGTATGTTGATAACTTTAGGAACTTAGTTTATAGTACTGTTTAAGGCTATAATGAAAGGCTCAACTCTTCTGCTTTTCTAGCTTTTTTTTTTTTTTTAAATAACATAATGAGCTCATTTTATTTTTTTGCAGAGCTAAGCATCAAACCCAGGGCCTTATGCATCCTAGGCTAGGGCTCTTCCACTGAGCCCCACCCCCAGCCCTCTAATTATTTTCTATTTTGTGCTTTGCTTCCAGCTGTCTCCTTCCACCAACTGGTCTTTTCTTCTGTTAATTGCTTTTACTTTCATCTCTTTTATTATCGCTGTTTTATAGGACAAACAAAACAGGATTAACACTGGCTCTGCCACTTACTGGTTTGCATCTTTAAGCAAGTTAATTAACTTCTCTGCATCTTAATTTTATTATCTTAAAATTAGAGATTATCATAGTTCCTACTTTATAACATTGTTGTGAAGATTAGGTTTTTCTTTTTTTTTAATATCTATTTTTTAGTTGTGTTGGACATAATACCTTTATTTATTTATTTTTATTTGGTGCTGAGGATCGAACCTAGGGCCTCACACACACTAGGCAAGAGCGCTCTACCACTGAGCCACAACCCCAGCCCCAAGATTAGGTCTTTCTTAAATTGCAACAATGAGAACTGCACTCAGAATTCCAAATACAAATGTTGTTTATTATTATTATTTATTTCCAATAATTTTCCTGTTGCTAGTCAAAAATGTTTAAGTGACTGTTGTAACTGAAAAAGCATACTGGACTTAGAATTTTAGGAAATGTACCTGTAATAAATTATTACCAGTTATGAGCATTTGGAATCTGTACTTCTTCATGGTATCATTTTTTGTAAAAATTGTCAGTTGAGATGACTGGTACACAAGAATGCAAAGCAGCACTTCTTGGTAAAAAGCAGAGGCTGGTGCATGATTCCCTGGTGAAAGACAACATCAGTACAGGCCAGGGGCTTGCTCTCAAACTCAAGTTCAAAAACAAGATTCATTTTAGAGAGATGGACTTAGATCAATCATGTTCTCCAAAGCTGATTGATAAAATTGATAAAATATCACCAAATTCTTGTTTTCCTCTAGCCAACTAAGTTCTCTCTCTGTAAGTAAGCCTCGGGAAACCAAATTATAATCAGAATGCTTATTTATTCATTTTAAAGTAAGATATATACAAGCCAAGGGGACAGAACAATGCATCCCCCAGCCAATACTTTTGCTTCTATGGGAATGTACCTGTGTAACTGGAATATAATGGGCTGAGCAAATCCAGTACATCCATGGTAGAGTAATTGCTACCACTGGAGCTGGTCTTGATTTGTGTTTCTGTACCCTGGACATAGGTGGCACTACCCGCATATGCTTCTGTGACCCCTTTCTTTGCTCACCACCCTCCTGCCAGTGCCACACTTTCTTTGGATAGAGTCATTCTATAGTTAGCTTATATTCAAGGCTTGCCAACCTTGGATACATTATTACCCATACTTCTTTACCTTCCTGCTTTGTCTTAATTCTGAAGTTTAACTCTCCAAGGCTCTTGGGGAACATCCACTATAGCTTCTATAAAATTAAACAGACAACAAAAAAAATTGCTCTTCTGTTCATTGAAACCAATTTCCTTCCCTCTGCCTTTCCCCCTCTAGCATTGAGAATTGAATTCAGGGCCTTGCACATGCTAGGCAACTGTTTTGCCTCTGAGCTATATCTCCAGCCCTGATTTCCATTATTTTACTAACCCCAAATATCTTTCATAATCTCTCTGAAGTTCATCCTTATCTTCTTAAAATTGCAGTGTTTAAAAAAAATGCATAAACTATAAATTCATGATGGCACACAAATCGCAGCAATTCGGGAGGCTGAAGCAGGAGGATTGCAAGTTTGTGACCTACCTAGGCAAGACCCTATCTCAAAAATTGAAAGGGGTCAGAGGTGTAGCTCAGTGGTAGAGCACTCCTGAGTTCAATCTCTGTCATCACAAAAGAATTAAAATAAAATGTTAAGTCAGATCTCAGAAGGACAATAATATGTACATTTAGAATCAAAAGTTTATCAAATAAGGTGCAGAGAGCATTATTTAGTCAACTTCCTCATTTGATGAATAAGAAAACTGAGGCAACTGAACCAAAAGTTCATATATCACAATCCTTTTTTTTCTACACCTTCTGATCAAGCCAATCTCAGTCCTCACAGTATAAGTACATTAATAAACTAGTCTCACAAAGAGATTAGGACTGGGTTAAAATTTTGGATGTTTCTCATCAAGCCTCAGGAGCCTGGAAAACCATTGGCAAATGCTAGAAGAACCTGGCAAGAACACTTTTATTAATCTTTTTTCACATACCCTGTCATTTCTCTTTTCTATCCTATCTCTAGCCCCTGTATTTAGTTTTTTGGTTTTTATGTTTTTTTAATGTATTCTCTAGTTGTTGATGGAGCTTTATTTTATTCATTTATTTATATGTGGTGCTGAGAATCAACCCAGTGCCTCACACATGCCAGGCAGGTGCGCTACCACTGAGCCACAACCCCAGCCCCATTTAGTTTTAATGATGCACAATCTTTATAATTTCAGAAATGAAGCAA